GCTGCTCTGCTGCTAGTCCACTAAATCAATAAGGTCTTGGAGAATTTTCATCTTGATAGGCGAGTTATTTTTCATCTCCAGCAAGGACATCAGAAATGCTTTTATGCTATCAACCTCATCATGGTTTTTGCTCACCTAAAGGCAAAACCCCAAAATAAACACAGTGTTGTGAGATGAAACAGCACAGCCAAGAATATGACAATCCCAAATGGAAGACGACATTTTGATGGAGACAGAGCAAACAATGCAGACACCAGGAAATATTCTTCAGTAGTTTTGCCAGGGCAGCTTTTTCTCACAGGTAATAACAACGTGATATTCTGTTGATTCGGATCTTCTCTCCATAAACGTGGTGTTTTTGTCATGATATGCACAAACTGATGTATACAGCTAAATACACAAAACTTAATATTAACAGTCAAGATACCATTCAAACTTTTACCAAAATCTGTCAGGTTTAACCTTCTGCACTTCAATATAACTATTTTAAATATCTGCAGTTTCATTCAATCATTTCCTTCCAAAATGACTGTCTTAAGAGACCTAGCACAGGCAAGTCAGAATATCCATCTAAAGAGGTCACTGGCAGCATGAAAACAGGTTTGAGACCAGTTCCATATGCTTAGTTCTGTGCTTGGCTACGTTCCTCAGCCCCTTTCCCCTGACTAGTTCACAGCGTTCCTCCAAACGTTACTGACCGAGCATGACAACAACTTGAGGTTTCCAGCATATCCCTTTCAGACAAAATGAAGTGAGAGGTTAGTTCTACAGGTAACTTTTAATGCAAGTCTTGAAAATTTTAGAAGATTCTGATATTTTTCCCTTCACAATACATATGATTGCATTTATTTACATATATTTTATCTTTTGGTATACATTTTTATTAGTTATTGCCAGTTACCCTTTTCATTCTTAAACAGTAGCACAAATGGTTTACAGTCATGATACCTCACAACAGCCTCACTTGCCATTTATGCAAAATTAAAAAAAAAATTAATTCTAAATACTTTTTTTTTTTTAAATCTTCTGTAAAGTCAGGATTTTCTCCTCATTTATTAATAGCTGGGCTTGGCAGAACACATCAAAGGTGCCGACACTCGTGACTAATCTAGATGAAGTTCAAGTTAGCTGACAGGAGGTAATTTTCTTCAGTTCTTCATTCAGCTCTTACTCATCCCAGGTATCTCCATATTTATTTACTTTAACTAAAGAAAAGAAGAAAAAGTAGTCACATATGACTTAATTTAACTGCAAAAGATTATCTTATACAGTGCCGAAAAGTATGATGAAATGCATTATCATTTAAAGCTGTGAGTGGGGAGAGCATCAGCCACAGCACAACAGACATCTAATTAAAACTACTTTTTGAATAAATGGGGAGAAGAGTTCGTTAATCATTATTCTTTAATGAATTAAAAGTCAGTCAAGAGGCCTACCATACTAATTCCTGCTCTACAGAATTTGTAATTACTTTGAGGCAAATGTAACATGGATGAAACACAGACAATTGGAGGAAACAGGCAAGGAATGTTACGATAAATAATGTGGCTACATAATCTAGTTACGTGCACAACTGGATGGATTCAAGATAGTTAAAAACATGTTCAAAGACCAACAAACAAAAATCAGTAATCTCTACTCAGCCATTATTATTTGGCAGCTTCCTTTAGTATAGGAGTGAGTCAGAGAGTTAAAAAAACCCCCCAAAACCAGGGTACTGGTCTTAACGGATTTATTCAGAAGTACGTTGTGCGTAACTGAAGAACGACCAGAAAGGGAAAAGATGCTCTCTTGCAAGTGAGCTGCAAAGGGGTCTGTAGCCGACTGCCTTCACTGGCAGGGTGAGGGGTGGATCTATATGAGCTGGTAGGAAAGCTGACACGAGTCAGGCACCTCTTTATACCTCTGCTCACAGGTTAATTACTAAGCCCCCTGTTTATTAACAGCGATCTGCAGCAGAACCAGCGGAACAGAGCAGAATGTATGGTCCTTTTTATGGCGAGATGTCAGCAAACCTAGCACAACGCACTGACAGATCTCTTTTAAGCCGACTGACACTGCAGTAGCGAGGCACCAAGTACAATTTGACTTCCACTGCTATGAACCATGGCAGCCAAGCAGGCTGTGCTCATTCCCCAGAAAACAGTCCGGGCCCCATCGCTACGCAGATGAATGTATTTGTACGGCTGCAAGGAACGGAGAAGGCACCAGCAGATGGAAGTGAGGCACTGCTCAGAACTGGTTGAAACATGGTTTGTTTTCCCTTATGTCCCTGCAACAGAGGGCAGAAACCACCGCCTCCTATTTGCTAGTCTGGCTCCTACAACACAGAGCCAAGAGGATGAACAAAGGGCTAATGACTCAGGAGGTACATAGGAACAGGCACACAACGGGTAACGTGTCCAGTGCGACACAAGAAGTCACATCAGATCCTAGCCTGCAACATCAGTAGAATCCCTGAACTGTAGATCTAAATGTGCTTCCACTTGTAAGACATTTCTGAACTTTTGCATTCCCTCCTTACTCTTTTTCCCTAAAAGTGCAAGGAGATGCTCTTAAAAGTTTAGTTACAAATCTCATGCCCTTCTCAGCGTAGTTCTGTTCTCAAAGCCTGAGTAAAACCAGCAAATGGAACACAGAATGCAGACAGAACAGACAGAATGCAGTATTTGATCAGTGTTTTCTAGAGGTCTTTTATAGACCCCAAATAACCAAAAATAAAATAATGAATGCATATTCCCATTTCACAGCCACAAGATCTGCCATGGAATATGGCAAGGTCTGCAGGATGCTGCTCAAGATGTCTGGGTATGGTTTTCAAGTGGCATATGTAGGCTTTCTATTTGTGGAGAAATATCTTGAAAAAGAAACGTTGTGTTAATCAGTGAAGTGTCAGCTGATGGAATCTACAAGCAATCTGAAATTACAGCTTCAATACTTTTTTTAATGTCTCACTTGGCATAGTCACTGGATAAGACAAAAAGGCTTTCATCCTGGAAATAACAGATTTAAATAGTTACCCAATAATTGTTTGTAATTTTTATTTCAGGACCATGTAGATCTGTTCAAAGGCAGATGATCTAGAGAAAGTAGGTCACAAGCATGAAACAGACTGACACTCAAGCAACACTGCTCCAAAGCTTACTAGTACTACTTCAGTATTTTTTGCATTAATATACTTTCTATACTTATCACCACCAGTTATACCTGATAGGAGACATTAGCTATTCCTACAGATCTTGTTGCAATGCAACCGAGAAGACTGAACACTGCATACAAACTCAAATGATTCAAGCTGACTAGTCCAGCAGTGTGTTAAATGGTAAAACATTCTTCTTCCTAACACCATTTTCACAGATGTGACACTAAATAAAAAAGTTCTAGAGCAAGCAATTATGAATTGCTTCTATGTCACCTTTTCAAAAAAATTTATTGAGTCAAAAAGTTGACTGAATGGCATCTTATTCTTCAGCACACTGCATTCTTATTTTGCTGTGTAAAGTTGTTTTTCACTGTGAAAACAAATATCAATATTGCTGCCAAATACTGTTTCCTTCCTTTGAGTTTTAATGTTGAAAATGAACGTCTGCAAACAATGCCTCTATAGAAATCCCCCAATTCCACCTGAAACAATTCATAAGAATAAATACTCCCCCCTTTAAAACCATCAACCATGTGCTCTATTTTGAGAGAACAATGCTATCTAAAACATACACCCCCTTCCATAACTAAAACTCTTCGGTATAGCTCTGAGCTCAGAGAATCCTTTGTTAAAAAAGGTTGCTCAATATATTCAATAAACCAAAAGGTGTGAGATTTTCAGTCTGGCACCAAGCAATACAGCTGGAGCAGTGGAATTATAATTTGCTTTTGGAAGATCAATATTTTTGAAAAAAGAATTAATTTGAAATACAAAACTACAGACCACATCACATAGGAAATACCTGCAGATACTATAAAAATAAATTGCTTAAAGAGTAAGCAGAATTAAGCCATTTTTAACATCACTGCCAATATAGGAATTTCCTACGTATTTCTGTAAATCAGTACATTACCTTCCTTAACTGGTTTTTCCTGTGAGAACTTGCTTGGAGTTTCTGCCTTTGGTGGTAGCATTACCTCGTATGTCTCTCTGTGCTTATTTCGTAATTCCTCATATGTGATGCCTTTTTTTTTACGGCTTTCTTCTGGAATTGGAGCAGGATCTGGAAACAAAAGAAACACCAAAATACATCACACGCCGAAACTTGTCTAAAAACTATTCTCAAATGCCAGTTAATTACAGCTCAATCCCAAATGAAAAGGAGCATGACAGCTGCAATCCTAAATGCAACTGCGAATGTATGTAGTCTTTAATTAATCCATTCCTTTTCTCCTCTTCATTTTGTCAAACTACTTTAGAAAATTGGCAGTTAACTCCTTTTCTTCATTTTATCCAAAGGAAATTCGAACAACCATGTGTTGTTGATGGATAAAATAGTTCTGGTCACTTTATGTGCAGTTTATGATAATCATACTTCTCATGTATTTATGACTTCTGACGAGAAGTCTAAGTGAAGCTCAAGGGTTGCCATCCAGGCTTTAAGTTCTGCTTTCAAAGGAGTAGGACTACTTCCATCATATGTCACCTGATAAACATTTTTTTCTTTTATCTACACCTCCAACGCAGAATCTTGGTTCGGCAATTAAGATTCTACCAACTACAGATATTTGTGATGAAGTGTAATTACAATTTCCTTGACAATTTACATCTGATACTTTCATATAAGTAAAACTGAGTTGCATAAAAGGGCTTTCTTGTGAAATAAAACCTTTTCTCTAATGGGGTTAAAAAACCCAAACTCATTCAAAGTGCAAAATTCTGCATTTGACAGTAACTTCCTCCTTTGTGTACCAGAGTGACCTGAATTCAGAGTCATGTGTTGCCCCTGCAATAGCAGAGGACAGAGCTCATACTGGAAGGAGGGCAACAGCTGCACAGAACAGTACTTGAAAACCATTTTAGTTCTCTGTGAGAAAATCAGCTGTTGCCAGACGGAACACAATATGCATTCAGTTCTCAAGAGACTTACGTTTTTTCACACTATAAAAACCAGTTTAATGTCACTGCATTACAGCAGTATCCAGTTACAGCACCACTGCTGGTGAAAATGAAACAGCCTCAGAAAGGCTAGCGGACAAATGGTAGAGACTGTGGTTTACTCCGTGCACATTCACCTTCATTTCAATCAAAAAAACTTTAAGTCAGCCTGAGTTTTTTTCAGGTTTAGTTTCACAACAGATTAAACCTTTTAAGTTAACTTACAATCTTACTTGCAATTAGAGCTTCAAAACATGGAAAAAACCTGAATTTAGTTTACAGTTAGAACACAAAATAATACATTTATTTACCTTCTATGTAAAAATAATTCTGGGAACTACAAGTTGTTCTGTTCAAAACCACTATATTGTACCATGTATGTTTGTTTGCATGGGATGAAAGTAGGTAGTTTAGTAAGAGAAGTATCTCAGAGAAAGGCAAGAGTCAAAGTATTACAACCTGCTAACTATTAAGAGAAACCACACCTTGAACAGTGTAATCAGTAATTCCTGTAGGTGAAGATTCATTCAGGGAAGCACTGAATGGAACGGGTTCATAACTTGAGAGGGCTCTGTCTGTTGAACTATAATCATCTGAATAGCCAGAAGAAAGTGGGAATCCAGCTCTTGGAGAAGAAGATTCAGCAAATGACTGAGAAGGCGTGTCTGAAAATTCAGATTTCCGACTGGATCTGCTGGAAAAATTATACAATTAAATACAGAAATACTAAAGTTAAAAATGGAACTATAAGAGTAACAATATACACAGTTCAATAAAATACTCTCTTATTTTAAATGGTTTAGCTTCCAACATGAATTATTATCATCTTAAAAAAAAGTTTGGGGTGTTTTGTTTTGTTGGTTTTTTTTTTTTCCTGTTACACTGCAAAGATCTGTCTAGTCCTTTCCTCAACACTCTTCCTTTCCTCCCAGAAAGTCATCTCATCCCGAAAATCTCCAGAACAGAAGACAACAGAGACCAAATATTTTGCGCTTCATAAGACAAAAATGACAATCCCTTTCCCCAGGGAGTCCTCAGACAGAAAAAACACACACAGACACAAATAGTACAGGGTGTGTCCGTGTAACTGGTAGTAGCATGAACTATGGTTATTTTTAAAGGCTTTTTAGAAAGTATTTGCAATTTAAAACCCTTTATCATTACAAGCTGCTGTAATTGATCAGTATGGAACAGCAGAAGAAAAGGAGAATGAAGAGTGATCTTGGGGAAATCAAATTATGAAGGTTTATTGAGTTGCTGAATTCAGTAGAAACACTTTAACGAATTTTCTATTGAGAGAGGAAGGTAAGAGAATATAAAGAATATTCTGTAAACTGATGCCTGATATTCTAAAACATTTGCTACATACTCAGAATGAGCCTGTAAACCACCACACAACATGTCTCTATCAAGAATGCCATCATTTGGTGCCACTAGAATGTCTCTAGACTATTTATTAATTTTTTACTTTAAATTTCTGCTTAGCTGTACCTCTAGTTTCATATGAAAAACAACAGCAATTAGTCTTTGTTTTATTCTCACAATAAACATACAGAGCTAAGCCATTTTATTGCCTCAGTTATAGTCTTAAAGTATATGCAAACACAGCTCTAAAGACTTGTCCCATCTTTTAGTTCCCTACCTATTTTTAACTGCAAATCTGAATTACCAAAATACATTAATTAGTAGATGTATAACGACCATGAAAATGTAATGATTTCTGTTGCTGGCTTAAAAGAGTAGCAAATACGGACAATAATGCAATTTGAATGAATTTAAATTAATAATTCAACCAAGAAGAAAAAAAAAGGAATTTATCGCTTAGGAAATAAAATTTTACAGATACAAAAGAACGGGCCATTAAAGGTTGAAGGGACTTATTGGTGCAGCAGATGATGGCATTTAAACAGGTTCTCACCTAGAGTAACCACAGTTAATGAACATGACAATTTTGTTTTAGAAACTGGAGGAGAGTGAAGGGCAAGTCCAGCTCCAATACAGCTGAGTAAATGTATAAAGTGGTAATTCCTAAAATTATGTTTGATGCCATAAAAGTGTAATCATTTCAGAATAAAAGTAAATCTTGCAGACAAAGCTGACATAAATCTGAATTTATAAAGTAATTAAGAATTTAATCAAGTCCTTTAAAACCATTTAACAAATCTCAGCACATACATAGCAGGACTACTACTCACTATCCAAACTCTATTCTCCCAGATTTGAATCAAGGGTTTAAGTGAGATATTCCGAAAGCAGTTTGCAATTAAAAACCACTTGAGGTAGAAAACGTTTTTGGAACAAAACAGGAAATAGTTTTAAGAACCTGATGAGTTTCTCATATGTTCAGCATAATGCTGTTACAGATGTAAAGGATTTAAACAAACAGCAGTAAGTTTGACCACCATGCTTCTTCCTGCACTGATATTGTTTACTGAGCTCTTTCCTTTGATAAACAGTGAAATCATTTCCACCCTCTTCCTACTTCAATCAAACTAAACTATGGGAAAAACTTCCAGAATGTAACACTATTTCATTTCAGTTAACTTAGTTTACTTCTAAGTTTAGAGGCAACTTCTGCTATCACACTACTGTAAGCAAATTCCACAGAAAAACAACATCTTAACTTACAAGGAATACATTTTGTTAAGTAAAATGTTTCTTTTTCTGCTCCTTAAAGTGATCAGTTGTATGTAAAAAGCTCAAAATGTGCGTTTTATAGCTGGCCAACTGATACAGATAGAGCTTCCTAGAAGTGCCAGACTGCAGGTAATAGAGGAAAGGGGGAAGGTGCAGCTCTGAGGGGTCTTGAAAGCTGCAAATGTAGCCTTGATCTGTAATGTTTAAAATGTCCTATTCAAGAATAAGTTTTAAATTTAAAAGATAATTAAATTCTTACCTATGTGAACTATGTCTCTGAGCTTGTCGCAGAACATCTCCTATTGGGGAATCCTTCAGTTTCTTAAACTTCTCGCTACAGATTGGCAAGTAGGATATCTTTCCAGCTAGGTATCCACACATTCCAGCAACTTTTTAAAAGAAAAAAAAATATTGTTTTACATCCTGTATCATAACATTCAACACAGTTTTAAAATAAGAATTTCAAATAAATCATACAGTACCTTGAAGAAACGAAAAAATACAGTTTAGATCTAAACCAAAACCATGCAGTAATCATCTCTCTCTGCTTCTTTTGCAGACAAAGGGTATTAAAAACAAAAGCAACAGCAGAACAGAGACATAGAGTAATGATTTAGACAAAGTATAAGCATCAGATGATTTCAGCTAGTACTTGATGAATGAAAGGTGACAAAAAAAGGCAAATAATTGCAATGAGTTCTTCTCAATATCCAGAAATAACAATTAACTAGCAAAGATGATAAAACAGTCAGGAATAAACAAAGGTAGTAAATTCTGCTAATTTAATCCATCACAACAGTCAGATCTTGAAAAGGTTTTCCCAAGTATGAAGAGAAATCTAAATAAACTTAGCATTAGGTTTAGTATCTTCTGAAGATGATTCTACGATATGGTTGCCAGAGGACAAATGACTGAATTAGCTGAACCCTTGCAACTTTTAGGCAAATGCTTTTAATTTGGTGCATTAGGTATTTTCATCTCCTGGACAGGACATAAGAATAAACGATCACAATAGTTCTTTCTGGCTTAAAACTGATAATCTCCATCAACTGGCTCCTTCAGGTTTTACGAGTGGGTCAGAGTATGAAGGAGCACGAAGGATTTAATGGCAATTAATAGAAGTTTTGTTGTTGACTTTGTAGGAGAAAAGGACTCTTAGATCCTTCTTTCACATGCAACCAGTATTTTCTAAATACAAAGACTCTCAGTCATCTCTAAATCAGAAAGGAGAAAATTAATCCTCTGAGGTCCTCACACGTAGATCACATTGCCTGGGAATCAATATAAAAGGGGATTTTACCCTACGCTGCTGTACTGGTATTGAAACTGTGATTCCTGTTCTAATGTCTGCATTTTCAAAAGAAGGTTAAAAGTCCTTTTCCATGAGAAAAGAGAAGAACAGCCACAACTATGAGTGAGGTTTACACATGAGAAAAAATTCGGAAGACACCTGAAACGCTACAAATATGTGCAAATGGAAAAATTACAAGCCTCTAAAAGAAAAATGGCCCAACAAGAATTAAAACTAAATATTCAGCAAAATAAAGCTAAGCAGCAAAGGTGAGTACCTTTGGCATAACTACAGAGATCAAATCTCCTTTTCTTGAGGCCTTCCAGTCAAGAAAAGTGGAAGCATCTCTCTGGAAGATGTTTCACCCAAAGTAATTATTGGATAAAATATTTGGTTTCTCTTATTACAGACCCAACAGCCAGATGATCCACATTTTTGAAGTTAGCACAGTAAATTAGATATTGTTGCTCTCTGCTTCTTCTGTATTCACTGTGACAAGACCTTAGAGAAGCTGGTCAGAGACAGATAAAAGAGGACAGGTCCCACTGCAGGCTAACATGAAGTAGGACATATGGAACTTTTCTTTGCCAAAGAGGGATAGCAGAGCAATAGCTCTATGCTATGCTGAAGGGCATGCTGGCAATGCAGAGTAACTAGAAGTTAGCCTGGGACTGCATGTGCTCTTCTTTCAGAGCTCATGGAGATAAAAAACAAAACAAAACACAACTGCACTGCTGCCTTCAATGCAGGAGGAATGTGCAGTTAAATTATGAGAGATAATTTGGACCTGTAAACTATGTCCCTGGCAATAGTTTTCAGGAAGATCCTGGAGACAGTAGGGGCATCCAACCTAAACAATATGAGGATGAAATGAAAACTGCTTAACTCAGGCCTTTTACACTTTATGTCTCAGAAAAAGCCCCGTATTTAAAATGCACATAAATCACATGAAGTTACCTACTGAAAAATAACCAAAACACACACTTCATGGAAAATTATTTTAGTATAAAATGAAAGTCCATATGCTGAACAGTGTACATCAAAAAGGAGAAGTCAGAAGTATTTTGGCTTATAACCTTAATATCAAGAATAATTGGTTTAGTCCAGCTGCTCCTTATTTTTCCCCTTGATTTCAAAACTTAGTTCTACTAAATAGGACAAATGTAGCCCTTAACCAGTAATATGTAGGGGATATAAGTAATTCTATTCCATTATTTATTATAAACATTTGTGCTATAACATTGTTTGGTGTTCAAAGAAAGCAAGTAGAATTTAGTATAAACAAATGGCAGCCCTAGTCTCTCACATTCATTTATCTGCTTAAACAACACTTCCTTCACCACAAATCATGGGTTTTACCCTCTTCCCACTGAAGTAAACTGTAAGAGTAACTGTCTGTATCTGGGCAGATTGGCAAGATGGAAGCTTCCTGTTTTACTGTCATGTACTACATTGAAAAGGTTAATTTATTAATTCATTTTTATTATACTTAATCAAAATCATTCACATGAAATTGCTGTTTTCCTACAATTGTACATACATAATGTCCAGGAAAAAAAGGCACTAAAATAGCCTGAATGGGACAAGTGAGATGCATGAATAAAGACCTTCAAATTAGGAAGGGAGGGGTGGGTGTACTCTGGCAAAGTAATTTGAAGTAAGCTTGTACAGCATCTGTTTACAATGTTTTTACAATCTTAGATGACACTTGTAAAGCATATATCAAATTTTACAATTTTATTAAAAGCCTAGAGACAAAACTTGTCTAAAATGTGTTGCACAAATTCAAAGATGATGAATAAATTAAATGCTCTACCTCTTGACATTAAACAGGTTCTTGCAGTATGAGATGAAATGTTGTAGTTAAGAAACATAGCTAAAAAGTTGGTGACTCATAGAATTAACTGCAGCAAGGTGAAACTTATTCACTGGGTATTTCAGATCACTTACTCTTATCCTCAGGCCCAGTTTTACCAATGTAAGCATTGATTCAATAATTTTAAAGTGACAGATTCTCCACCTGGGACAGGGCAATCCTGGTTATACACACAAACTGGGGGACAGGAAGCTGAAGTGCAGCCCTGCGGAAAGAGATCTGGGAGTCTGGGTTGATGGCAAGTTGAATGAGTCAACAGTGTGCCCTGGCAGCCAAAGGGTCTAGTTGTGTCCTCAGGTGCATCAAGCACCACACAGTGAGCCAGTCAAGGGAGGTGACTGTCCCACTTTACACTGCACTGGTGCGGCCCCATCTCGAGTACTGCCTGCAGTTTTGGGCACCTTAATATAAGAAGGACATCAAAATATTAAGAGTGTGTCTAGGGAAGGGTGACCAACATGGTGTAACGTCTCGAGTGCAAGAGAAGCAGCTGAGGTCATTTGGCTTGCTCAGCCTGGAGAAGAGAAGGCTGAGAGGTGACCTCATTGTAGCCTACAACTTCCTCAAGGCAGGCAGCAGAGGGGGAGGTGCTGATCTCTCTCTGGTGACCAGCAACAGGACACGAGGAAGTGGAATGAAGCTGCGTCAGGGGAAGTTCAGATCACACATTAGGAAAGATTTTTCACCGAGAGTGTGGTCGGTCACTGGAAAAGGCTCCCCAGGGAAGTGGTCACGGCACCAAGCCTGTTAGAGCTCAAGGAGCATTTGGGCGAGTCATATGGTTGAGTTTTAGGTAGTCCTGCTGGGAGCGGGGAGTTGGACTTGATGATGCTTATGGGTCCCTTCCAACTCGAGATGTTCTATGATTCTATAGAGTGGAGTCACAGTGTATCAGCCAGCTACTCTCATGGGAGTTACATCTGCTTAACAGACCCCAGAACCTAAGGCATGAATACAGGCTGAATTTATATGTAGCTTTTACTTACATGCAACTTTTGTAAAAGAGCCAAATCTTGAGCTATCTCTTAGAACACCTGAAAAAGAGGATCAAAGTAATTACTAATAAGTTATTAAGCTGAAAAAATCAACTGTAGTTATGTTTGTAGGTAGCAAGTTACTCTTTTACACTTAATGTTTAAAAAAATTCAAGAAAACCTAATGTCTGAATTCTCCATTAAATTATAAAGATCTAAGAATTACTTCTTTAATCATATCACACACAGTATTACTACACACTAGAGAATATATTGTTTCATAATCACTTGAGATATTGCATTTGTCAAACAACATAAAATTAACATGAATTTTATTTTAATTTAAAGTTTTGCTCCTTCTTTAGTTTTAGGAACTGCAAGTCACATAGCCGAAGTCTGAACTTTTTTTAATTACAAGTAGATTAGACATTATATTATTATAGTAACTTTACTCACAGCAGAGATGTATTTAATCGAAGCAAATCCAAATTAACCCAAAGTAGGTTTACACTTTACCTTTCCTAATTAAGAAACTAGTAGCAAGCATGCTCACTGCAGCCAAAGGAAAAGCTGTGAAAAAGAAGAAAAGTTGCTTAGTATTATTTTCAATATTTTCAACCACATTTAACAAAATATGCAATAAAATGGGAGCTGCTAGGCCTTACCAAGCTCATTTATATAAGAATGTAAGTGTATATAAAATTAACTGTATATAAATTATGAAACATTCACAATTCCAGTTTTTAAGACCTACTACAAATCATGCAGTTCTGGTTAATGAGTCATCTCTATCAGACTTCATGCTTCCTAAAATAAAAAAACTGATGCCAGATGGGATAAAGCTCTAAGGACACAACTCCAGGTGTAGCTGCAACTGCTACAGCATCAAGATGCAGAACTTTAAACCACAGAAGCATACCCAGTTCTTCAGGACAGAAGGCAAGTTATGTGGAGGCCAGTGCCTCTAAAAATTTTTGATTACCAAAAGTCTTGATTTTTTTTATGTTTTAACATAAGAATTTTGCAAAAGCTGTAACTCTTACAGAGATAGAAACTACACTGATTAAAATCAGGTAACCTGTTTTAATCACTAGAACAGGGCAGCTTTTTCTGTAGCTTATGGATCAAACTATACAACTCAGGGGTAGGGTCAAGAATGCAGAGAAGAAAACAAAAATGGAACAGCATTACTGCCTATCACAATCAGCTTAACAGTTCATGTCCAGTTTTAAGATATTGAAAGAGTTCAGGTGGCAGGAAGCATTTGAAGATGCCAAGAAACAAAAGGAATGCGTGTTTCAAGCAATTATAATCATGATATTGGGAAGTTTAACTTTGAAACTATTTGTAAAGACCACCACAACTGCACAAGATGCAGTGACACTGAAATAACAAACATGAGAGAAGACTAAAGTTAATTACATTAAAGATTTAGATGTGTCATAATGAAATTACATCTTAAGCAAGTCAGAAAGGCTCAATGACTTTAACTTTACCTAGGGGAGAAATTTTTGCAACACCACTAGATGTTTATAGTGTTTTGAGGCACACAATCTGATAATTAAGTCCATATTTGAAGAAAAATGATACTTTTTAGAACTTGGACAGCACAGTATTAAATTATACTTTGCAAACTAACAGTTTATTCCTTCACAAATTCTGATGGGTCTAAAGTAGGTTAAGATTCCAACCAGCATTTTAGGGTAAATGTGACTGGACATCACTTTTAAGGAAAAGTATTGGCTCCCTGGTTCACAAGCACGATTACAGTAACACTTCAAAATAAGAGAATAAAATCTCCCAATCTACTGAAGATTACAATTCTGATGCTTTTAGAGATTATAGAGCTAGATTTTCCAAAATTTGGAGTTCTAGATTTTCTAAGATATAGAACAGCAATGCAGAATTGAAGCTAAATTGTAAGAGGAAAAAAAACCCAAGGTGGAGTGGTTTAAAAAAACACCAACAAAACCAAACCAAAAGAACTTATTACAGAGAACTTCACTCTAACCCTTAGAGATCCAAAGTGATTTATAGGCCCAACACAAGTATTCTGGACATCAAAGACAGGTTATGCAGTTTAGTGGAAACAGCTGCTAGTATGGGAGCATATAAATGACCTAAAATGGTACCTAGAAATTAAAAGAGTAATGCATGAATGAAAACTTGGTTTGTATATAAAAATATGAATCATTATTCAAGTGTGGAAAAAAAAAAAACCCAAACAAAAGCAGCTTAATAAATCAAAAAATATCAATGCTTTTCACTGCTACGGACAAAAAGTACTACTTCTGCTTCAGGAACAGAATAAATCCTAGGAAAAATAATGGAAGGCTGATGTATCAACAGCACATAATTAAAGATAGGAATGTAATGTACCCTAGTCAAATGATTTTACGTTGAAAAAGTCATACTGATCTGGTTTGATTTTGTTAGTGAGATAAAAAGTGCAAAGGATAAAATTGTAGACTGTAATGTGAATTTTTACAGCATTAGAATTCATATTGTATGATAATGTGATTAAAAAATAGTAGCACCAGTAAAGCATATATTAAACTGAATTATGAAATTACTAGAATAATATCTATTACTGCTGTGAATAGAAACTACTGCAAACCAGACAGGTTTTGTAAGAACTGGTAAAAAATTGCTACAGCTTGATATCTGAATAAACAAACTGAAAACACACAAACTTATAGTAATATCTGTGAATAACAAGAACTGATACCATAAGAAGTGAGGATGGCAGGGCAGTCACACAGGCAGCCCATGGCTCTTGCAAAGGGGCATTCAAATAATATGTATTTAATATAGCAAATACAACCACCTGGGTACACCCAACACTGAACAATGAAACAAACACAGGAGACCTAGAAAACAGCGAGGGGCTCGAGGATCTCCCAGGGAGGTAACAGCACAGTACACAACTCCTGAAAATAATCTCTGTTACTGCTGTAGCTCCCTGAAGTGAAATTAGTGAAGAAACTAATTTGGGGCTTCCCAACAATACCTTCATGTTGTTTCTTCAGTCTCTGTATAAAGATGAACAGGGCAGTAAGTTACATTCCCAACCAAGAACTCGGAGCAGAACACCTCGAGAAGAACAAGCAACTCCCTCCCCTCCTGTCTTCCAGGAGATAAATTATCAATAAGCCATAACCAATTGTTATCTTACTACTAATGAACTTGACTCTTTAAACTTATTAAAATATCACAAAAATAGCTAGATTTTAGCAAACAACCTGGAGGTTTCCAGGTCTTTGAATAAAAGTGGAAGAGGAGAATGCCAAAACAATGGAGAAAAATCCAGCAGAAATTTGAATTGGCAACTCAAAATCACAGTGCCTTAGAAGTTGCTCCTGAAAGTACTGGCTGCCAGGAGAAATCAGAGCCCCAGTGTGCTAAATTTAGCAAATCAGCTGCTAAATTCTTCATCTGTCCTGGTTTCTGCTAAACCACCTATCAGCATCAGGAATAATCTACTAGTCAATGATTAAATAGTGGGTAACAATCACATCAGAAGGCTTGGTCAAACCTCTTGACCAGGTGGATAAAAATCAGGTATGTCTTGAACCTCTGGATTACATAAACAATGTTAAGTAATGACATCAATTCTCAATGTTTTGTGAAAAAACCCCAACATAATCTTGACATTTCAAATAAATCAAGATGAGACACAAAGTATCCTGTGAAAAAACAATGCAATTTTATTATTCCTGGATAGTAGCTGTAGTAGAGAAATAATTACTGACTGCAGAATCATGCTTGAGAGTCTTAGCTTTTATTTACAGAGAAAAAAGCCCAAATGTCTGGCCATGCACAGACACTGAACTTCTCTCCAAAAATTGAGCTGAATGACTCCTTATACCTGGTTCTAAGCTAAACTATTTTATTCTTGTATTCTAAAGATAACAACAAAAATTGAAAATAAAAACACCAAAAAAGAATATTCAGATACATAAATAAATGACACTCCATTAATTATATCTATTTCCAGACTTTTAAGAAGCATATTAATTTAAAATATGAAGGGATCTTGTTATATAGCATAAACCTTGTAAAATATGTCGCACCTTTTACAAAATTCCTATCCTGCAAACTTGTAATAAATGTAAATCCTACACGGATCAACATTTACTGGGATGCTATTTTAGACCATGTGATGTTTGTTAATGAACCGCTGTGATATAATGACCCAGGCCTTCCTTCCTTCCTTCCTTAATGCCTCAGATAACAGCAAAAACCAAGGGTGGAAGAAAAGCAAAAAGCAAACCAAGTTTACCGGCAAACTGAACTTACCTCTGTACCGGGCACTCTCTTCAGCACATTCCTTGAGGAGTCTTCTTTCCTCCTCTGTCGGCACGTAAGGCTTTGGTACTTCCCTCTTTCATTAGGGAAATAAATTGGACATGAATGAGCAAAAGAAAGGTTTGGGGAGAACTTTTCAATTAAAACATTTGTCTCACTTTCAAACCTTGTGGTGCCTGTACTTTCAGACAGCTATGAAGGAACCACTGCCTTTTGTCTACAAACCTCATATGAGGGCAACAGAGCACTGGAACAGGCTGCCTAGGGAGGTTGTGGAGTCTCCTTCTCTGGAGACATTCAAGACCCGCCTGGGTGTCTTCCTGTGTGATCTCATTTAGGTTCCTGCTCTGGCAGGGGGATTGGACTAGATGACCTTTCGAGGTCCCTTCCAATCCCCAACATTCTGTGATTCTGTGAAACGTATCACTAAAAAAATCCAATAGCTTCTACCAAACCCCAGGGAGCAGAAAATGCTGTGTGGACGCTCAAACCCCAACTCATCCACTCCTCCTTCGTCAGAGAAGCCTGCTCTGGTCCTTGCAGCCAGCCTTCCAAGTTTATCAACACTAACAGCTCATTAACCCCCTTCCTAATTACCCGTCAGGGCTAGATCGCACACGCACGCGAGGAGCGAGGCCGCCCAGCAGGCGAGAAGCTCCTACCGGAGCTGCGTGACCCTGTCCCGCGGGGAACGGCGAGCGGCCGGGCACCCTGCCAGACCGCCGACCGGGAGAAGGGCGGACGCGAGGAGGCCCCGGGAAGAACAGC